AAGAAAGAAAGAAAGAAAGAAAGAAAGAAAGAAAGAAAGAAAGAGAAAGAAAGAAAGAAATTGAAAGGAAAAGAAAAGAAAAGAAAAATATAACCACTGTCAGGCATGGTGACACACACCTGTATCCAGAGGCTGAGGCAGGAGGATTTTAAGCTGGAGACAGCTTAAAATTAGTTACATGACACATTAATGTTGATAGCAGACCTTAAAAAAGGTCAACTGAACATAAGTCTATCTCAAAATATTTTTTTAAAAAAGAGTAGTTCTGAAAACTGCTGATTTTTAAAAATATACCAGTCAACCAAAGTAGAAAGATGACAAGAATAACTTTATTAGGGAATGAACAGCTATAAAGTCTCAATAAATCTTTTTAATCATCTGAAAGAATGAAAAGCTAGGAGGGTTGGGGGGGATGAAGTGTGATTAGTTCAGACTTTCTTTGACAACAAAGAAAAGCAAATTTTGTATAACTCCTTTTGAATTTTCATTTCCACAGACTAAACTTTTATCTACCTGAGAACCACAATCATTGTCTGTGATAACATGGATTCAGGAAGAAGTCCTAGCTATTTAGGAGATATTTATTTTAAAACATTTATCAGGCCTTCCCCAATCTTTTCCTCACCAACAAGCTTTCTAAATACCTACATCATATATAGTTCATTTTATTATAGTTATTTTTAATGTACCTGTTTTTCCCTGCAATTCTGTAAGTCCCTCCAGGGAAAGGTTTATGTTCTTTCTTTTCTGCCCTGCATATAAGTACTCAATAAACATTTACTCAATTGAACTAAGGGGTATATTTTTCTTTGAAAGTACAATTGAACTTAATTTTTTAAATGTGCATTACTTTTCTGATAGATTATGAGTGCAATAAGCTGGATCTGGCAATCAATAAATCAATTTTAAAACAAAAATTTTTTACTTTTTTGTTTTTGTTTTTTGTATTTTTAGTAGTGAATTATAGTTATACATAATAGTGGGGTGGAGTTAGGTTTGACATAATCATACATGCATGGAATATGATTTGCTCCAATTCAGACCCCAGTACTACTTCTTCCCTCCCTTCTCCCTCCCTCTGTTCCTTTTTCTCTTCTGCTGGTCTTCCTTCTATTTATTTAGTTTTCTTTTAATTGATCTTTTATAGATATGCAAAAAGGTGGGATTCACTGTGGTATATTCATATATGTATGTAGCATAATTGGATTAATTTCATTCCACAGTTCCTTTTCCCATCTTTCCTCCTTCTCCCTCAATCATCTTCCTCTATTCGACTGATCTCCCTTCTATTTTTATGGGGTTCCCTGAGTTTTTTTCCCCTTATATTGGTCTAATTTCCCACATATGAGAGAAAACACTCAATCCTTGACTTTCTGAGTCTGGCTTATTTCATGTAGGATGATGTTCTCCAGTTCTACCCACTTACCAGAAAATGACATAAGTCCATTCTTATTAGGGTTCAGTGAAACTTCTGTGTGTGTGTGTGTGTTTGTGTGTGTGTGTGTATCACATTATCTTTATACATTCATCTGTTGAGAAACACCTGGGCTGGTTTCATAACTTGGCTATTGTGAATTGTGCTGCTATCAACATTAATGTGTCATGTAACTATAGTATGCTGATTAGTTATTTTGGATAAATATCAATAAGTGAATAGCTGGGTCATATGGTACCTAGTCTTTTCAGGAGTCTCCCTGCTGCTTTCCAAAGAGATTGTACAAATTTGTAGTCTCTCCATCAATATATGAGTGTACCATTTTCCCCCCCTCTCCAACATTTATTATTATTTGTATTTTTGAAGAGTGCTGTTCCTACTAGAGTGAAATAAAACCCCAATGTAGATAGGAAAGGCAGTGAAATGAATTGGACATAACTTCCCCATGTTCATATATGAATATACTACCAGTGAAACACCACATCATGTACAACCACAAGAATGGGATCCTAATTAGAAAAAGGAATACTCCATGTATGTATAATAAGTCAAAACACACTCTAGTGTCAGGTATATCTAAAAAACAACAAATAAAAAAATTAAAAAGAAATCGTCCTTGTATATCCCTGATTGCTAGAGATGTTGAACTTTTTTCATATATTTGTTGGCCATTTTTAATTTCTTCTTTTGAGAAATGTTTATTTAATTCTTTTGCCCATTTATTCAATGACTCTTTGGGAGTGATTGGTGTTTTTTGAATTTTTTATATATTTTGAATATTAATCCCTTGTCAGAGGAGTCACTGGCAAAGATTTTCTCCCAATCTTCAGCTTTCTTTACTGTGCATGCAAACGCTTTTTAATATGATGTTGCTCCCAACACCACCACCAGGAAAAAAAAAAAAGACTGAAATTGTAGATTAGTGATAGAGTACTTGCCTAACATGAATAAGGCTATGGTTTCAATCCCCAGTACTGAGAAGAAAAATGAAAAAGATAACTACTATTCTGACAAATATGACCTGTTATGTATATGCTGTTGTGTAAAATAGTATCAACTCTATGTCTGGCTTCTTTTTTCCAAGAGTATGTCTGTGGTTTTCATCTGTATTCTTAGTAGCAATAATTCATTTTCCTTTCCATGTACATATTTCATTGCATGAACACAGCACAATTTACTGACCTATTCTATTGGTGATGAACATTTGGTGTTTTTTTCCCAGTTTAGGACTATTCTGAATAAAGTTACTACTGACATTCTATGCAGAGTATTCTTCTATTGGGTTTATACCTACGAGTATAACTACTGAATTATAAGGTATATGTGCATTCAGCTTTAGTACATAGTGCCAAAGAGCTTCCATAATGGTAATCCTATTTTCTCTCCTACAAGCATGTGTGAAAATATCTGTTGTTCCACATACTCACTAGCACTTGGGACTGCCAGAATTTTAGTCATTATAGTGGTTATTTGGTGGTCTGTCATTATGGTTTTAATATGCATTGCCCTAATGACTAACAAGCACATTTCTGTATGTATAGGCCACTATGGTATCTGTTTTGTGCAGCACCTATTAGACCTGCTTATTCTTCTACTGGATTGTTTTTTAATTTTTGATTTGTAGTAGTTCCTCATATACTCTAAATACCCATATATTATCAAATAGCTCACACACTGTAAGACTTGCCTTTTCCTTATCTTTTATATCTTTTGAACCGCAGAAGATATTCATTTTAAGAACACATAACATCAAATTTTTTCTTCATGGTTAGTGCTTTTTGTAGTCTTACAAAAGACTCTTTCAATCCATAAACATGATAAATCCCTTCATTTATTTAGATTTTCTTTCATTTCTATCAATGTTTGTATTTTTTAATGTAGATTTTTTTTCCATTGGATTTACTCTTTGGCATTTGGTGTTTTTTAGTACTAAACAGCATTGTTTCTTTAATTAATCTTCTGATTCTTTTTGTAAACATATAAAAATGTATTTTTAAAATACTGACATTTAGTCATCACACCTACTAAATTCCCTTATTTTTGTAGTCTTTTAAAATGGGTCTTATTGGGATATTTTATACACAATAATATCTACAAATGAATGTTGCAATATTTCCTTTCCATTCTTTATTATTATTATCTTAATCAATAGGAATAGTGATGGCAAGTATCCTTGTCTCATTTTAAGAATAGTGTGAAATTTATTTTTCACAACTGAATATTCACAATTGGATGTTTTACAACTGATGGTTGCTACAATTCTTCATCAGGCTAAGAAAATTACCTTCTATTCTTATTTTGCTAAGTTTTTGTCATGAAGGAATGCTGATTTATGCTTCTGTTTTAAGAAAATTTTAAGTAAGTGCAACACTAAAACTCACTTTCCGAAAAGTGCACTTCTAAATTTATTTGGCCCCTGGGTCATGGCAGATTGCACTTCCTCTTACATCATCTTAACAGTACCCCAACATTAGAGCTCCACTTTCATATGCATTATCTCCATGCCCTCTCCATTATATAATATGAGATGGCTTCTACTCAGGTTGAACAGCCATACTAGACTAAGCAAGTTATTTCCCATGGTATTAATTTTGTTTTCATTAATGCTCTGATTTTGCATGATTTCTCCATTCCTTTATATTTCCCATAAGTCTTGTTGAATTTTGTGCACAATTTTTAAGAACATGATAAATTTCAAGAACGCATAAATTTTATACTGTAAGTACCTATATATGCCACAGAAGAGGATAACAGCCAAGCCAAACTTCACTGGGGTATACTTTTTGCCCAATTATAGCTAAAGACACCTAGTCAATATGACAGAAACACAAAAATGAACTTTTTACAATTTATTCAAATGTAGATAAGATAGGTAGAAGATTTGTAGGAAATCAAATATAATCCTTTGACACAGTATGTAAAAATCATGTTCTGACATCCAGGCACAATGGCACATGCCTGTAATCCCAGTATCTCAAGAAACTGAAGCAGGAAAAATCATGAGTTCAAAGCCAGCCTCAGCAATTTAGCTAAGCTCTAAGCAACACAGTAAGACTCTGTCTCTAAATAAAATATTTAAAAAGGCTGGGATGTGGCTCAGTGGTAAAGCACCACTGGGTTCAATCCCTGGTACCAAAAAAATATATATATCATGTTCTGGCAACCAACAATTAATTATATAATTGGCACTACTAGATCTTAAAAAGAAAAAAAAACTCTCAAATCATTGTGCTGAACATAGATCAGGAAGCTTTTTATAACAGTATTTATTAATGTGATCAATTATGGCTTCAAAGTGATTGCTTATCCGAGGTAAGAGGATTGCAAGTTCAAAGCCAGACTCAGAAAAAGCAAGGCGCTAAGCAACTCAGTGAGACCCTGCATCTAAACAATATGCAAAAAACAGGGCTGAAAATGTGGCTCAGTGCTTATGTGCCACTGAGTTCAATCCCCAGAATCCCTTCCCCAGCCACCCACCCCCAAAAAACGACTTTATAATATAACACAAAATAAACACACATAATATTATCAGAATTATTTATGAGCTTTATAGCTACACACTTACCTTCACATTTTTCAAGAATCTGGACTGTTTCTCCTATTTCTAAGATTAATCCTTGAGGAACAGATCCCCGAAAGCTGCATATCACTACAAAAGCAAGAATATACACATCAGTTAGCATGTCTAAATACTTAGGTTCTCTGAATTAAACACTAAGGTCTCTTCAACCTACACTCTCCCTTCCTTACTAATTCCTCTTTCTAATGTATGAGACTCTTCCAACTTAGTTACTACATTTTGAAAGGTAATATTAAATAGTTCAGGACAATGACACTTCATTATACATTATAGCAAAATTATTCCTGAATGGTATGAGCATATGCACATGTATGAAAACATTTCTGTAAATAGATTCTCCCTTAACACAATCTACTTCATTTATACTTTTGGGCAAGTATATGCCCATTATTTTTGTAAAAATTAACATTGGGAACATCATATCTACTATAAATAGACATTTTAAAGCATTTTTTAAAGAATCACAAAATAAACTTAAATATATAGAGAGAGAAATAAAATTCTCATAAGAAAAATGAAAACAAAAATTAATGAAATAGAAAGCAAATGTACAACAGAGAACAGCAATAGATAGTAATAAAAATCATATGTCTTTAATTTTGGGAAACTGACAAACTGATTCCAAAATCTGTTTAAGAATATAAATAACAAAGAATAGCCATGTCACAGTCTTAAAAAAAAAAAACAACTTTCACTACCATCTATCAAGCATTATAATCTAAACTTTAGTTCCCTGAAAACATTGACATTGAAAACACCTAGCTCAGCTGATTTGGGAGGTGAGGGTAAAAAACAAAGAGAGAAAAAAAAGTATGACATTAGCAAAACATTGAAAACTTTATAAAATCGTACTATAAAAAAAAATTATCAACTGGGAGATCCAAGATGGCAGGACAGAGGGAGGCAGCATTTTGTGTTACTCCATGACCTGGGACTCAAGTAGTGAGAATATTGCATCTCTGAGAGTGATACTCCTGCTCCTGCATAGGAATCACAGTCACCGTGCCTGTCCAAGGCTCCATGCCTGAGCTTCAGAGGAAGTCTCCCAACTTCTAACCCAAAGAGGACTACAGGGTACAGCACTGATGCAGAACTTTCAGCCACCCACCCGAGCACAAATCACAGTGTTATGCTCGAATTCGGGACCCCCAAAAGACCACCAGAGACCAAGATCGATGTAAGCAGCAAAGAGGTGTTTATTGCGAGCTAGCTCGGTCCTCCGTGTGCACACAGCAACTGGTGACGCAGAGAGGCCCCGAGCCCAGGGTTTGCAACAGTTTTATACATTCTTTGGAGAAGGCTGGGACCCCCACATACATTATAGCATCTCTTAGCAAATCATCACACACCGCGGGAAAATCAAATAACAACTCTAAACATGATTAGCACATTCACTGGCGGGAACAAGTTGGGTAGGGGTGATTGGTTACTACAAGAGGAGGATTCATTTGAACTGATTGGTTTAAGCCAAGAGGGGTGTTCATGCTGAACTACATGGTTTCCCAACACCATAAACTACTGGGAGGGTCATCTGGCATCCCAGGTATTTCCCTGTCTCATGCTGATTGGTGGCTGCTAGGGGATTGGTATGGGTCCCCAACTAGCCTGACTGAGTCAGAGACACCTGGCATAGCAGATCTCTCCTGTTATTTGTAGATAAATCACTTAACAGGGTGGGAATGTGCCTAGGAGTGCTCTGTGGGTCTTTTCAAGGACAAAGGTCATGTCCCTTCCTTGGACAGGCTTTGCTCTGAGGTAGAGGCTGGTTTTTCAACAGGAGCTCTCACGCAAGACACCCAGCAAATTCCTACGTGCAGGAACTCCAGCCACCCATACCGTGTGGACTCCCATCTACCAACGTGTGGCTCCTCCATTGCTGCCATCTTGGGTCTCTACAGCAGTGGAGACAGTCCCCTAAGTGCAGTAGCCTGCCTGCACCGAGAACTTCACATAAGCTCTGAAGTCAGTGGACAGCCATACATTGCACACCACAGAGCTAGTCTCTGAACTCATTGTTCGATGTCATCACCCAGCTCCCCTCACCCAACCTGACACGCCATCACTGAAAGCAGGCACCTCCATCTTAGGTTACCTTCATCACCATCTTCAGCGGGGGCAACTCCCAGTTTGGAACTCCATCTGGCTAGGTAGCCAATTTCTAACTACCCCCTCTCCCACGCAGCCACTACCCTGGCACATGGCACCCTGGTTACCTTCACCATTCTGAGGGCAGAGATGCCATCTAACAACAGATGACCCCACCTATTGAGTGAGAAGGGAAATGGGAAAGATACTGATCTCCAACCAAAACAATCCCTGTTTCTTCCTTCAAGATTTTTTTCCCTGTCCCTCTCTATTCTCCCGCCCTCACATCCCCAACATATGTAAAACCAAGTACTTTGCATGAAGGATTTTGAGGACTGGGGACATCTGAATAGTATATTACAGTTGTGTTGTATATTCTTTTTTTTTCTTTTTGCCCACCAATTTCTGCTATTTTAATAAATCTTATTTTTCTTAATATGTTTGTTTTATGTACACTACTGTCTTCACACTTACTTTTCTACACAAAATTCCTCTCCCTTCTCCTGCTATTAATCTTCCTCTTTAGATTTGTTTCACACTTCCTAAGTTATAATAACTCTATATCCTCACCTCCAAACTCCTGAGCAGATCATCCTACTCATTATCTCCAGTTCTTTGTCCACCATCAGAAACTGTAAACCCTTTTACAAACTGTTGGGAAAACATAACGGCAGCAGCACCCCAGAGAAAAACCCCAGCAAGGCGTCTAAGGACCCTCTTTCTCCTCTTTGTTTCTTTCACTGGCGCGAAACGTTCCCGCCGGTGCCAATGTTCAAACCCTGCTGGTGAGAAGCCTTAGCCCCAATTAGAATTAACTTCTTGAGCTCCGGAACTGACATATGGAAGAGCTTGCCAATAAACGGGCGACCTCTCCTTAGACCTATATAAACACACAGCCTTTGGTAATAAAGCGGAAACCTCTTTGGTGATCTGTGTCGTGTGGTGCAGCGTCTTCCAGTCTCACACAAACTACTGAGTATATTGCAGATAATAACTGGATTCACCATTTCTGTACATTATGACCAAACTGTAAACATCTTAATAGCAAACATTTCTTTTAAGGGTGCATATTGTTAATATTGTTATCTGTTAACACTGTCCTTCACCTCAAAGGAGAGGTATTGGATCCCTACAGGAGCCCTACAAGCCTAGAGGGTAAAAACGGTACCACCTCAGATCCACAGTACTAGAAGGGAAGACACGCAAGCAATATGAAAAGACAAGGGAAGAAAGTGCCCCAAACAAATCAAGATGCCACATTATTACAATCCATGGCCAGCACAGCAGAAGAAATGACAGAGAAGGACTTCAGGATGTACATAATTTAAATGTTCTGTGAATTAATGGATGATATAAGAGAGCAAATACGGTCAGCAAAAGATCATTTTGACAATAAGCTAAATAAACAAATACAGAAAGCAAAAGATTACTTCAATAGGGAGATAGAGGTTCTAAAAAAAAATCCTTTAATTGAAAGAAACAATAAACCAAATTGAAAGCATCACCAACAGATTAAACCACTGGGAAGACAGGACCTCAGACGATGAAGGCAAAATATAAAATCTTGAAAAAAATGTAGGGGCTGGGGATGTGGCTCAAGCGGTAGCGCGCTCGCTTGGCATGCGTGAGGCCCGGGTTCGATCCTCAGCACCACATACAAAGATGTTGTGTCCGCCGAGAACTAAAAAATAAATATTAAAAAATTCTCTCTCTCTCCCTCTCTCTCTCTCTCTTTAAAAAAAAAAAAAAAGAAAAAAATGTAGACCACACAGTAAAAATGGTAAGAAACCATGAGCAGAACATTCAAGAAATATGGAATACATAAAAAGACCAAATTTGGTGCTAGGGCTGTGGCTCAGTGGTAGTGCACATGCCTGGTATGTGTGACGCACTGGGTTCGATTCTCAGCACCACGTATTAAAAAAATAAAGATCTATAAGCAACTAAAAAATATTTTTTTTAAAAAAAAAGATCAAATTTAAGAGTTACTGGAATAGAGGAAGACACAGAGTTCCAAACCAAAGGAATGAGCAATTTATTCAATGAAATAATATCAGAAAATTTCCCAAACATGAAGAACGAATTGAAATACCAAATTCAACAGGCTTACGGGATGGCAAATGTACAAAAATCAAAACAGATCCATACCAAAGAACATTATAATGAAAATGCATAACATACAGAATAAAGAGAAAATATTATTTTTCAACCCAGACCCTGAAATCTAGAAGACACTGAAAGAACATGTATCAAGCTCTGAAAGAAAATGGATGCCAACCAAGAATCTTATATTCCACAAAATTAATCTTTAGATTTGATGATGAAATAAAAACCTTCTGTGATAAACAAAAGTTTTAAAAAATTTACAAGTCGAAAGCCTGCACTACAGAACAACCTAGGCAAGAATGTCTTCTCTGATATAAGGGGGGTGACTCAAAATGGGGTTGGGAGGGAGAGCAAGGGAGGAAGATAACCTCTAGATAGGGAATTGGGGTGGGAGAAAAAAAGAGAAAGAAGGGGAATAGCATGAATGGTGAAAGAAGACCCTTATCATTATACAAAATATATGTATGAATATGTGAATTTGGTGTCAACATACCTTATATATAATCAGAGATATGATAAATTATTATATAATGGTGTATTAAGAATTGTAATGCAAAATAAATAATTTTTTAAAAAATACAAACAATAAAAAAAGGAAATCCTAGGCAAAATATCCCATGAAGAGGAAATACAACAATGAAAATCAGCAAAGAGAGGTATTAAACTAAAGGAAAAATTAATCAAAGGAGAAACCAAGTCAAGTTAGATACCAAAAATAAATTTAAAAGGCTGAGAATAAAAATCATATCTCAACAGTAAATCTGAATGTTAATGGCCTAAACTCACCAATCAAAACACATAGACTGGCAGATTGGATTTTTAAAAAAGACCCAACAATATGCTTCCTTCAAGAGACTCATGTCATAGGAAAAGACATC